CCATGTAACTGCTAAAACATGTAGGGGTCAATTCATGCCAGATTGAGCTAGAAACACCAATTTTCACTCTTCGGATTATCACACTCAAACAAAAAGATACAGGCAACAGCTGTAGATTTGGCTGCAGAGTTGGGTATAAGTACAGGATTCAAAGACTTTGTTCTGCATAACCTACAAACTTACTTCAAGGATCTCAAATTCCCTTACCATCACCTTCACTTTAACAGCTCAGATGGGACTGAGATATTTTACCTATTAAAGAGATTAAGAATTTAAAATACAAAGGGATTAAGCAAGTTCCTAAAAGTTGCACAGGAAATCTCCTGCAGAGCACATTCAGGGTCAGCTTCACTTGATCTCCTCTACCAAGGGCATCCTTCCTCCCCTTCACCTTTATGTATGCACAAAGCCACTCTCCTGGATCGGGGTTTTATAACTGCATATTTAAATTGAAACATGGGTATTTTTCACATGTGGTTGCCTAATTGCATTAAGTTTGTTGAAGAAATTGAAAATTTATACTGAAGCAGAGTAGAAAAGCATGGGAAAGTATTACCCCTATCTCCAGCTTTAAGTGCTTCATTGTAAACTCTTAGATCTTCCTATTTTTTTCCCCCAATATGTAAATATATAATATTGACAAACTAAGTGGTGACTATACTGGGTATTTCAAAACTATTACACAAATTATCTCCTTTCAGAAAGATTCAAAAAAGTTATGGAAGAGAAAGAGGCTGCCTCATAGCACAAAACAGTTAAAGCCCACATCGAATGAGGACAGACACTGTCACAACAGGTAATCCTCAAAATGTCACCTTTATGTTTTAAACATTCATTACTGGCAAACTTAACAGCTTAACAGCTCTATTTTTCTCTCCTAAGTAAAACAGGCACAGTATAGAAACTGCCAGCACAACTATCATTTTAAAACATGTTTCAGTCCACTGGTTGATATTTATTTTCACAAAGTAACAATTACATTGATGGCTTTTATAACATGGCATCAAATAAAAACTATGAATTAACTTTATGGCTTCTGCACTTTGCCAAGATAAAAATACTAACATGCTTGTCCAAAAAATAATGTATTTACTTAAGGCATCCTTTTAAAACCCAAGGTATTGCAGAACTTCTTTTAATCACATCCAGAGGAGATTTGCAGCTCAAGGAAAGCTTACAATAACCAACACAAGCTATTTCAAGCAATTTGCAAGCTTCACATATCAGAAAGCTCAACTTTACATCATAAATGTAATGTAATAACCTGTCTTCAGCATGAATTTTGGAAGTTTTGAAAGAGTAAGGCATACACGATTAGTCTTTTTTAACTTTGTCTGAACCACTTAAAGATGTTCAAGTACATGAAAAGTCCTAAGCAGAAGAGCCTAAGTTGTCCTTACAGGACAAAAAGGAATGGAAATTTGAACACAGATAGGCACAAATGCTGAAGAAATGTCTTTATGCTTCTCCAAAGCTGGGCTCATATGAACTACCAACACGTATCAAAGCTTATTTCCATCTGTGCAGGGAATACAAAATGCAGTTTTCAGGCAGTGTTTCTGGGACTAGTGATTTTGAGAAGCAACAACTCTCTGTATTTCCTGCTTGAAAATAGTTTGCAATAGACAAGGAGACAGGTACTGAAGACCCAAGAGAAGCGGAGCAGTTAAAATGGAGACCAGGAAACGGTTAGAACGACAGACCTGATCAAGCATGAGGGCCTTTCTAGGAGATGCATTCCCCAGCACAGCTTTTATGTCTTGCAAAGAGACAAGTTATCGAGTAAAATACAGCAAATGGAGGGAAAGGTAACAACGCGCTGTGATCCTGAGGACAGCTCAAGCACAAGGCAATGCTCACCTGATGTATGGTTCCATCGATCTCAACTGGAACAATGAAATCCGCGTTGCTAATCGGCTGGAAAAGCAACAAGAAAACAAATTGACATTAAAAAAAGGGCATTAGAGGTGAGATTTCAGAGGCAAACAAAACAAAAAGAAAAGGAAAAAAGCAGCAGCAAGCACCCAGGAATGACTTAGGAAGCATTTTTGATTACGCAGATACACTTTGTGCACTAGAGTCCTTTGTGCATAAAGGTTTATCTATTATTATTATTTTTAAGTCTCATGCAGCTGTATTCGCTGGATGGAGCGTTTCCCACCTTGCCTCGTATTTGTTGAGTTGATTTAATCTAGAGCACTTAAGTGCTTGAGTAACCCCTGCTACTGCTGAGCACAGTCTGAGCCTGCTTGTCGGTGTAGATGTCAAGTCAGGTAACTTAGCAGCTCCGGGTGGATGGCAACAAAGAAATTCTGCTCTTTGCTTCAGCTACCTATAGGCACAGATTCCACTTTATGTAATCAATTGCTAATTAACTAAAAATAAACAAGGTCATGAATGTCGCATCTATTTGAACCAAGAGCTGCAACAAGGGAGGATGAGTAATAGTCACATGATTCCCAGAAACCTCAAAAACTCGTTATGCCAATCAAACCAATCATGCAAAATTGAATTTTAATCCAAAAGAGAAGAAGAAGAAAACACTACCCAAGATCTCAAATCCCTTTTTGCCTAAGCAGTTTGAGACAGCCTACTGCTCATAGGCTTATCATGAAGAATTGTCCATCTAGGAAAATAATTACTTGGGAAATAATAAGCTAAAACACGTGCTCTAGGTGTCCCTGATGGAGCAGGGGGTTGGACTAGATGATCTCTACAGGTCCCTTCCAACCTTAACCATTCTGGGATTCTATGAAAAGTAGAAAAATGTCCTTGCAAAAAGAAGACTTGAAGAGAATGCAGCTCAGTCTTGGCTGCACAGTAGTGGTAGCTGGTGAACTCCGAGATAAGGATGTTTAGTAGTTTACGTGGGTATCAAATCTGGGCAGAAGCCTTTGGCGTGGTCACACATTGGCTCTGTGATGAGAAGATCCCATAAACACGTCTGGGTGAAGTCCGTAACCCATGATCCACAGCTTGGAAAGAGCGAGGTCACAGAGCTGCCAGATCCCGTTTTACAGCACTGATGAACAGCCAAGGTGCTTCACAGGCAGCAGCGTGCACCGAAGGCTGGAAATACTTTGGTCGATGACTGGGGTGACACTAACAACGTTACGATGGGGAACATCTTTACTCATCTCTAAGATTTATGCAGGCTGCATGTGATTTTCTGGTTCAGCCAAAAGACTGACTTTAAGCACCAATGAGAGTGAGACCCTGAAGAGTCTGAGCCTGGAAAGAGAAATCAAACTGCTTCCAAGATAAATCCCTCTTTCTGCTTCTGCAAAGACAGAGGGGACTGCTCAAATCCGCATGGAGACACCCTGCAGCATCTCTAGGTGCCAGAGAACAGCTCCATTCTGCAGTTTCACCTTAAAAGAAACCCACATGAACTTGCAATAAGATGTAGCCACCTAAGTTTTTAAGAGGGTGCCAGCTCTGCACACACTTCGGAGAGACGTGCACTCACTTGCAATATTTATATATGGCTTCCTTAAGCAAGATAAATGTTCTGTACTGCCACGGAAAGCAGAGCAGTTCCCTGCAAAGGGATTTGGAGCCCACTGATGAAAACTCAGTTATGACTGAGCTTTGCTACCAATGCTGGAAGAGCAAAGAGAGGCCAGAGAACACATTCTGTTTAGACAACCACATTTTTGTTAGCAAAGACAACCTACCCTCACACTGCGCAACACTAGCCAAGCTGCTCATCTGTATCTTTGCTTCCCTCTCTTGTATTTTGGATACTACACAGCTATCTCGCTAGGACAAGAGATAAGAAAGAAAGAATGGACTGGGCTTCTGCGTTTCATCACGATGGGGAGACAGCAGAAAAGCCCATGGCTCGTGGGGCTGCACGTGTGTAGCTGGACAAAGCTCAGCCGAGAGCCACAGACAAACCATGAAATAACTTATTTCTACTGCAAAGATTTTCTTCACTTTTTTTTTTATTTAATAAAAAAGCCTCAAGGTTGTAAATGTCATTTAAAAGTGTTTCAGGGACAGTTCTGAGTGTGACTACATTCCAGACTCGCATGTGGTTTAATTTACTTGCTAGAGAACAATGTTTATATCTCCTTGATTTAAGAATTTCTGCGTTTTGCTTCTATTATTGTTTTTATGATGGGAGCCATATCTATAATGTCTATCTATTCCTTTATACTCTTGCCAAAGCACCCCATACTTTATTCCCTTAGTACGTGTTTAACATAAAAGACTAATACCTCTTAAAACTTCACAGATATGCAGGAGCACAAAAAGATGAGAATTACCCTCCTTCAGATGTTGCTGCTTTCATAAAGAAGCACTTTAAAAACCTGCAACTCTGGTTGTGTTAAAAAAAATACACATGCATTTGAAATATGAAGCTTATTTCATAACCAAATTATGTATTCCCCAAACATATATGTGTTTTAAAACATTTTGCACTGAAAAAAACACACAAATTTAGGGCTTTAAAGTTGAACCTACTTAAGAAAAGGCTTTACATGAGGGGGGGAAAAATAAATAAGAACAGTAATGAAACTGCAAAAGGAGCATAATTATTCAGGCAGAGTAGTGTAAATACGGGCATTAAAACTCCTGGTCTTCTGGAAATCATCAGGAGATTTTTAATGACCACGATGGCCTTATTTCAGCTGACGTATCCCCCTCTCTATGTCACAAAATCCAAACAGTACCACTAAGTACACTGAACAGAGGCCAAATACTAAATAACTAAAGCCATTACTCCAAACCCTGCTTTTCAGTTATGTACTACCATCCCCGAGCTTCAAATTATTTGCCTGTGATGGCACTGCCTTAATTTATACTGCGCTATTACTCCATGAATCATTATATCTTTGGCCTAGCACATTATATTTCTAGGAAGAGAAAGTTAGAAAGGAAAAAAAGGATAAGAAAATAGTGTTCAGCATAAAAAGGACAAGAAAATACTGTCCAGCATTGAAGACCAAGTAGAATCATCTTTGACTTTTCTTAGTTATCACTTAATAACCATAAATATCATTTACATCCTCATTAAATATCAGTTGAATAAATGGGATAATTAAAAATAAGCTGATCGAGCAAGTACTCTTGGCAATAAATGTAAACCTCCATCTTACAAGAAAGGATGTACACTATATCAGTTATTAAACATGTATTTCCTTAAAATGTTTAAAAACAGGCACACTTCATGGAAGGCATTTTATTTTCTTTCAGGAACCATAAAAGACACAGCAAGGTTATCCACAGCATTTTCAATACACTCATTTTTACATTCCAGAGAGTCTAATACTTTATGCACATTTAGAGCAGCACGTTCAGCTTTCCCTTCCTTTTTTTTTTTTTTTTTTTTTTGGCTCCTTTATTAGGAAGTCATACTACCTCCCTTCCCAATGCAGCTGTGTTTCTAATTTCCCTGACAATTTCTGAAGGGCACTTCACCCTGGCTGCAGAAGACAACGATCTGGAGCTGAGGTTAAGAGATTCCTGCACATCACCACAAACCAGTACCTACCACCACGCACCATAAAGAGGGAGAAGAATCTTAGTTTCTGCTCGACTTGGAGCCACAGGAATATTCATTCTAGTATCTCCATATACGGTCATCTTTAAGTCAACAAAGACAGACTGTTGCCAAATTCTAACCACAGAATGAATTATGGTTTACATATTTAAATGCTGGCAACTAAGTACTTGCCAGATTAGACTGCTGAATTTGTGCTTGCAGTGAAAAATAGAGAGCAGCCAAAATTAGAGGACAATAAAATTAATGGTGACTCTGCCCTGCTATCAGCAAGGGAACATACTATTGATTCTTAGAAGTTCTTCATAGCCCGTGTATAAAACTAGAAGATGCTTTATAATGTCTGACGTTTGCTGATCAGGGAGACTAGCAGTACTCTGAAGCAATTCACGTTATTTGTATTACTGAGTTCCTGCAAAAACAATAGACAAATACTGCTACACCCACCACATGCAGATTATGGAGAGGTTATAAAGCTGCTTCTGCAACACGACTGACTCATCAGCAACAGCTAAAACACTCTATGATTTCCTGTTGTGAAAGTTCAGTACTTAAAAACAGAGTTAGGAACCACATTTGGGATGTCAGATTGACATTTGCTTCCTTATGATACTGAGAACACTCTTCTCTGGCATGGAGCACAGCAATCACTGGGGCTCGAGACCTACTGGTTTAAGGAGCATCTACCTAGAGTAAAACTGTGCTGAATTTCCACCCTCCTAGACTAACTGCAGCCCCATGCAATGGGGAATCAAAACAAGCCACCAGGCAACCCATGAGACTCGATAACGTGCAAGTGCCAGGAGGTTTAAGAGTTCGTGCAGTGCTCACTAAAAGAACCCGAGTTGCAAGAGACCACCTATAAATTTACATACCTTAAATGAACTGTGCACTAAAGTTTCATCTAGATCAATGACCACACACTTCTTCCCATAGTCTGATGCTGTCAGTTCCGGGAGGAGGTATTTAGCTGGTGGCTAAAGAAAGAAATAAAAAGACAAGAAAAAAAAATGTAAAATCTATTCAAATGTCTCTTTCCCACTAACATTGCTATTCTGGTAATACTCACTGGGGATTGAAATACATGAATCAAATTCGGATGTTTTTCTGGGCTCATTGCAAGTACACATATGGAAATCAACAGCTCATGCAATCAGTACCCATACAGGCTGTTTTTTAAAAGTGAAAGATTTATGTGGAATACTACCCAAAGCATTGGAAATGAAGAGGACAAACCAGCACTATTAGCAAAACAATAACACTGAAAAATGGAACACCTTTTCCCCACAACATCTTTGCTAAACACCTCATTTTTTTTGTTGCCATTGGCATCCTAACTCAAGGTGAATACTAGTACTAGAAGCAAGCACACATTTTTGCCCGTTTTAACACAGCAGGACATTTCTGCAAATTGTTATTTCTTCTGCTTGCTATGATACATGCTAAGATGGAGAAAACAACTCAGAGAGGACAACTAATTAAATAGCTAATTTTATCTCGCAGAACATGTCTCCCTGTAACCTTTGCCACTCGCTGGGGTACTGACTAAGAGCTTTGCAAAAACGCTACCATTTATACAACGTGAAGGAGGAGCTCCACAAAATACATTTCTGAATGTAATGAAGACTTTGGCACTGTATAGTTTCTGAAAGAACAAAAATCAGTGATAACTATCATTTGGAGCTGAAGCACTGCTACACTGTCAACGGCTTGAAGAGATTTTTTGGTGAATGAAAAGGATCTTTTTCACAGAAAAGCATGAGTAAGGAGAAGCTCAGAACTGACAGGAAATTAAACATACAAAGAAGGTCAAAACAGAACACAGAAGTCAGCTCCATTCTTTTGCTCTTGTTTTACCTGTTCTATTGAGATGACGTTGATAAGGCTGCATCTATCCTGCTCCTTGTTCTTTCCTGATACAAAAGCCTTTTATAGAAGTATATTCAGAGATCTGTGAGGTCACCACTTCTGCAGAGTGGTGTGAGGAACAGATGAGTAGATACCCACCAAGCACAATCCAGCAACAGGAACAGATTTTTTTTTTTTTAATTAATCACTGAACTTATTTCAGGTGAGTATTGGTCAACTATGTCTTGTAAGTCGTTATTTAAATGGAATAGCTTGTCCTAAAATGAGTAAGATTTTGGATTTAAAGAAAAGAACAATCACAGGTCAAAGTACAAGTTCTTGGGAGATTTTTTTTAGAGTATTCACTGAAATTGGTTGAGTTTCTTTACAATTAACAAGCTTCTGGAGCTTACAAAATGGAAGCTGCTCTGCTTCCGAGCCACTTCATACCTTCTCTCTCTGCACACATCTATCAAGGACCTTCAAGCAAAAACTACTGCTGCTCAATGTCTGTAGAGCATGCATCCCTCACAACAACCTGACTGGACCAGAAACCTCAGCAATAACCATACTGAAGCATTTAATAAATACAAAAACACCAGAGAAGTTACTCTGCTACAGCCTCTCTAGGTGATGGAGGGTCCCATGTGTATGTGACTCTCACAAGCAGTGAGTGCTACCTACGCCTGTTTGCTAGAGAGTCAATTTGCAAGGTAGGATAGGAACAAATTTAAAGAGTTTAGGTGTTTCACCCTCACTTTAAAATCTAAAATGCATTTAGGTACATCACCTAATCACTCCATAATAGAGAAGGATGCAGACTTATAAGCTACACAGGCAACAGGTTTATTAGCATCCTGCACTTAAAGGATAATATTCTGCAGCATCTGTGCTTTGACAGAGATTTTTTTTCCACCAACACACTCCTCTGCTGCACAAATTCTTTTTCAATATATATTCAGCAAATTTAACATGGATACATTTTTTTCCTTTACGAATATGCACATGAAAAATATGACTACTGCCATGTCACAGTTTTGTTTGACTTTTATCTGCAAATTAGTAAGGCTGTCCTTAGGAAAAGAAAAAGGAGAATGACCATAGGGAGGACTGTGCTGATGTGCAAATCTGGATGCAAGGAACCAGGATTCCTCTGCCTGCACAGTGACAGTTTATTCCCTTTTTTTTTTTTTTTGTATCTACCTGTAGCTCTGCTGTCTCAAAAACAGCACAAGTCTACCTGTAACATCAGACTTTCTACAAGCTGGACCTTACTGAATCCTGATCCCACATTCCAAGCGCGATGCTGAGATACCTGCTCGACTGTTTGCACACTTGAGGATCAGAGGTTAAGTTTTACCACCTCAAAAACTTCCCCTGTTTTTGCCTTCCCCTTGAAAACACTTTTGCTCCCTGACAATATACCAGGGACAAGAAAGCTGAAGTTTCTGCATTCTGCAGCTGAAGCTCCTACGGGCTGTGGGAATGTTAAATATCTGAGGTTGGAATTTAGTGCAAGGATGAAACTAGGGGGACTTGAAGGATTTGTATATGTGATATCAGTTCATGTGTTTTGTCATTTGAGCTTTCTGATTCTAGAGCAATTTCCACCTATTCGGACTAGCAAAGACTTTATGTAAAAAAAAAAAAAAAAAAAAAACAATGTTACTGAATATTGCTTTTGAATTCCCTCACTAAGCTGAGAAAAGTGGAAGGCCTGCTAGTCACAACTCCTGTAGATGTTTCCCATCATGGCTAATTGTGAATAGTCATGGCCTTTAATGACATTTTAAACATACTAGCTTGAAGGATAACATTAAGCTTTTTTAAAAGTATTCAGCTGTAGCTAACAGCAACTCACATTTGCTATGTAATACTCTCCAAAATACTGCAAGATTTTCCATAAAACTTGGTTGAAAAATACCAAGCGGTATCTTAGAACTGCAAGACCCAGTTTGGTCTTCAGTTCCACTAAGATATAAATTGTATACAAGTTCAAGCTTTTAAGCTAGGCACTGTTTGGG